TGGCACTTTCCAAACATGGATGTCGACTTAAGCTGAGAAATCTCTAGTCTACCAATAATTATGCCCACTCTTAGGGTTAGATAAGCGCTGGGATTGCCTGCTGTTTTACACTGGTGGGTTTTTCATTCCTACGCGTATGGATATGAGTGATGCCTAGAGTAGCGTGCCCAGGAAATCCGAATGGGGGGGGTTGCCATATGAAACACTGATTACTCACCCTAATTGGGGGGGGGGGGGGGTAACATATGAAAAAACTGAAAATTCACCCTACATTTGTGGCCAAATTAAAAAAATTGTGAGAATAGAACCTGTAAAATTGAGCCCAAGTGGTGGGGGGATTATGACACCCAAACCCCCCCCCCCCCTTGGGCACGCCACTGGATGCCTACATGCACCTACTGCAGATTTAGTGGTTAAGGGTTATGAGGGAAAAGTCATTTCATGAATTTACTTCTCGACATTTGAGAAGCAGAATTTCAGCTGTCTGTGTGATGTCTGCGGCCATAGTGGCCTAATTAGCGTTAGAGCTTTACTTTTGATGAGCATCAGAGAGAAAGAGCTATTGTAGATTAGACCTAACGTGATACTACTAATTAATAACACAGGAACGTCGCGAGACTGATTTCCCCATGATTCCTCAGGCTTGCAGCGAAAGCATAACATCAGGACATGGAAGCCATCATTTAAAATCACACCACTCGCTCTCATTGGTCAGTCCTCCAGGACTAACCACCAGAGCTGACGGCTTCCCCGACGTTAAAGACACTGCCGCCGAGAGCCCATTCTGTGTAGGAGGTCGTAAGGGAAGCACCCTAGCTTCACGAGAAATGAAATCCTTGAGGTTGCGCGTGGAGGTGTATGTGGGGCCATAGCTCGACCTCATCGCCGGCGACGCTGGACGCGGTGTCCTCGATGCCTTCGCGATGGGTTCACACGCCCTTTTGATGCAAACCATTATTTTCCTACTGTCTTACTGCCAGCAGTGCAAATAAAGTTTTCTCCAATATTGCACTTAATGTGAACTGATATTCGGTACAAGTCCCTGGAGTCAGAACAACAGTAGCACGGGTGACCTTACGGGGGTGCATGAACTCATCGCGAAAGCCCTGTAAGACGGTTTCACTTTTTGACCGCAGGCGCATCGCTCGGCTTGCGTTTCCCTGTTAGGTAATGCTGGGGTGGGAATGGTTTCCGTCGGGGGAAGCTTGCTGCGTTTAGGACTCCAGCCCTTGACACGATCTCACGAGCATGTTTTTGACCACCCCGTCCCAGTAGCATCATGCTACTGTCTCTCTCGCGTTTCTCTGCGTGTCTGTCTTTCTCGCTCACAAAGCGCCACGTATCGACAGGAAATGACGACAGACCGACCGACAACACAGACGAATGTTCAGAGATATACCAGAAAATGAACGGCACATTGCCCAAGATCATGAACTTCAAGCACATTTCCGATTCTCCTATCCTATTCGATTAGGAACAATTGGTAACACCCATCGAATTCACAAATAAGCGTGAAGCATTTCGAAATCCGAACGGCAAAACCCAAACCAGAATAATAAAAGAGACGACAAAGATTGACGGACGATATCCCTGGCGGATGTTTTTGACGAGCAGGCGGTTATTAGAAGCCATGTAGCCGTGATTTATTGCCTTTCCATTTCAGGACTCCCATTACAAAACTTGTCACCTGTTTTTCTCGCCGAAGAGCCCATGACCTATTCATACTGGAAATCCAAGCCACCGGACCAGTATTGCTTTCTTTTGTTCCATCTAGAGATCTGAAGTTATAGGAGGCGAAAAAGCATCGAGAGTGAAGAGAGCCATCAACGATTCATGATAACTTTTTCGATATAATAATTTCGGTTGGGTTCAACGCGAAAGAAGGATTCGTACCAAATAAACGGGGTAGCGAATGTGAGAGCAAAGAGGCTTTCCCTTTAAACGAGATTAGAGGCTATGGCCAATCATTCTGAAAAACTAAGACATCGACACTGGAGAGGAGCAAGCACTGGTCGTCGAGTGGAGGAAATGCCTCCACGCTGCGGTTACGTTTCGTCCACAGCTAATCAAGCCTCCCCCCAGGTGGCGAAAATGTGTTAGGCTTAAGTAGGTTCAACCAGGGCATGTTTTGAGGAAATATCAGAACTGTACACAATATCGTAACCGTTCTGTAGCAGTTAAGTGCTTCCCTTCCCCCCACGCACGGAGGGCGAAAATTTGGGAATAAAAGTTTGATTTAGCACCATTTTAAAGTCTGGAATGCATTGATAAATTTAAATACACTGGCTTCCAAAACTTGAGGAACACATTGAAAATCCGTGATATGACGAACACCATGTGAATGATGTTGGATGCTGTGGATGAACTAACCATAAATATATTGCTGGATGTCGGCCGGACGATCCCCGCAAACGATGGTGGTGTGTTGGTGTTGCCCGCAGGTGTCTTCGAGCTGTTAGCTGGATATAGCGGTCCTCTCGCTGGGTTGTGACTCTTGGCCCGCCTTCCCCAGGCCTGCGTGATGCTGTTTGCGTCTGTTGGAATCGTTCCCAAAGCCTGTGAACTACCGAACGACTGACATTCAGTCATCAGGCTACTTCAGCTTGCGACTGGCCAGGCTCAAGCCTCCCATGGCGCACCATCTCAATGATGATGGTTCCTTTCGGTCATTTTCAGGATTCGACTATCTTGAAATTAACTGCTTGCCATCCAAACGTGAACCACGCTACCCCCTCTCAGAGCGCCGTCTTTTAAAGACATGTGATTTGCATATCGCAGGTGATCTCCACCACGTTGTATGCTATAGCAACGTAGCATCGTTAATTTACATACTACTGAAAGTTCCGACCAATTTCATGACGGGGGTGTTGCGGAACTAGGAAAAATCCATTTGTTTCTTAAATTTTGGAAACCAGTGTAGTTAGGTTACCGCACTAATTTCAGCCTTAATTTTGTTTTTACAATTTAATTTTCGCCCAGTTTTGACCTGCACAAAATATCTCAGAACTGCACATATATTGCACCTGCACATTAATATATGCCCTGGTTTCAACATAGTACGTCAACCTGGAACATGTAGGCCCAACGTTGAGTGCCAATATTAGCCCAACGTAAATTTGCCGAGGGGCCAATGTTGAGCTCATATTGGATGCGTACCTGGGACCAACGTTCTGCCACATTTACCGACGTTGGAACAACATTGGAAGTCTACTTAATCACCATAGTAAAGAGAGGAGAACCCAGGGGCTATCTTGCTAGAAGGAACGTTGCACTTGGACATTAAGATTACGAATCCTTATCGTTACTAATAATGCAAGAAGCCCAACAAGTACGAAAATTGGTAGTACCCACTTCGTAGCGAACAAGGTACACCCATTCCAAGCATTATTGAACGAACGATTGGATATCACGTGAACACGGACGACATGAGCTTCGGACGGTTGTTGGTTCCTCTGAACGCGATTTTTCCGACATCCTTTAATGTCAGATCTCAGAACAGGGACCGGAAACTTTTCACTTTCCCCAGTGTGTTTTCTAGTTTCACAGTACTGAAAGGCATTACTAGTCCTCTATACAAAACTAATCAGTAAAACGGTCCTTTAACTAAATCGAGGGTGTTTGTCGGGGGCACCAGGGCGACATCTCTTTTCTAAGCCCTTTTCTAAGCCATGCATCTAGGATCCATGTGCACCACACACAGATAGCGGGTCGTCCATTGCCCCGTGGAAAATTCCCTTGTTGCCTTTCATGGGCCAGTAGGCTTTCGAGTCAGCACTTCCTGTGCGACATCGCGGTATGACAATATATTTAATTTTAGGGCATGGAGCATATTATGGGGAGATGGCGCTGATTTTTGATGCACTACAGTTTCCGCACTTGGCTAAATCGATCGCTAGATTATGTAACTTTCTTCACTCTAGTAAAATCTAACAAAATATCCGTTTCCCTCTTGTTATGAAACTCAACATTAAAGGTCTTGCCTTTGGTGAACATTTGTGACAATGCTAGCTTCATATAGGCTACACATATAGGTCACTCCTCCTCCATAAAGTGAAACCACGGGACAGTCTCACAATTTCCCGATGTCGATGGGTCACACTTACTCAACATTTCAACGCCGACGTTTAACAAACATTGGCGATTCACGTGCACCGGACCTCGCACTTCCACACTTCGCCGTGATCGGCGTAGTGGGGCAGTAGACTAAAATCTTAGAAAAATGGGACACTGTGTCGGTAATGGGTACCCTTTTAAGTTAACATAGTGGATCTTCGTTCCAGGACTTGTTTGAATCTAGTGCACTGGGCAAAATTTGCAAAAGGCAAACGGCCCAATAAAAAAACAACAGCACACTTCGCCGACCATCTGCCAACGTTGGGCAAAATGCCCATTTTCTAACAACGTTACTACCCCACCTCACCAGCCCTCAGGCGATGTAGGCACGATGCTATCTGGGCTACTGAAATGCAATATTTGGGTTTGGCCTTAGTTTAGCAGATGAGTGGTGCAAATGAAGACCGATGAATCAAATAGCAATAAAGAGTCTACCATCAATTTCTTCCGATTTCCCCCATGCCTATGTAGGAAGCAGAGGCAGGCCAAGTCTAGTTGCTCTGCAGGAAAAAGTCCATGTTCAAAATTCTGTTTCCTTTGTGTGGCTGGCTCATAGGCTTGATTCGGCTGAATGGACTTTCAAGAAATTTCGAATTGTTGCTGAGAATTCATCAGCCGATGCAAACGACAAGTCTCGTGCAAGTATTTTCAGTAGAAACAAATATAAATTAACCCTTAAATTACAAAGCCTCGAAGTTTCGCGTGATATAGGCTCTGGGTCACATTTGACCCAGCCTGGTCTCTTAAGGGTTAATAACGGGAGGGTGGGGTTTGACTCTTTTTTCCTGGACCTTGCATAGGCCTAACATGCGAAGAAGCCCTCAGGATTACATTTGAACGAACTCATGAATAAAGAAGACCTGGTTCCCCAATCTCTGGTCAGGGACATGGAAGTTTTCAACATTAACTATCTGCCAAGTTCTTCCTCGCTCGGCCGGGCGGGGTTGAACCTGGTCATTGCTAGCGGTCACTCATTGAAAATGCGCTTCCCTATCGCCTAATCCTTTCCCCTGCTGTGGAGCACACTGCCTAATGAACAACACCAGGACAACGTCCAGTTTATTAAAAGATAAATCTTTGCTAAGTCCACCAATACCTATAACATGTGGACAAAAACTGAAAACCCTTCTCATCGAAAGATATCCTTTTGGGTCATTCCAAAACATCGGATTCACTTAATGAAACAAAGATTTCGTTAACAGAATCATTCTCCTGATTTTATTTCATTTTTTTTTTACACAAGGGGTATTTTAATTCGACATTGTTTCTCTTTTGACAATTTTTTTTTTACATAGAGTATAAAATGTAGAATTTCCTTGACTTAGGGGATGGAGCCAAATGTAGGATCCTTTGAACACCCCTTTTCAAAAAATTTATTAAGGTCACCCTCTGGTCTCCCTTGTAGAGCAAGCAAATTCTGAATATGTCTTTATTCTCAAAAACCAGGGATAATGAAAAGGAACCATGAAAATGGCCAATTGTTAGCAAAAAAAAGGGGAACTTCCTTCACAGAAGTATTTGTGAAGTGAGGACTACAAAGTGTGTTGCCCCTAGCTGAAATGAGACAAACCCTGCTGAAGCTCAGACTCAAATTTCCATCAGGAGAAGGTAAAAAAGAAACCCTCATAATCAGCAGTGACCATTGAGCAGAATTTCTGATTTATTATGACCACAATCATAAAAAAATTTCAATTCAAATCAGTCTGATGATAAACCAGACAAGAGAAGTCTCCATAAAAATCACATGGGAAGCATTTGAAACTGCACAGGATTGTCTACTGCCAAGGAGACACACTGTGCAAGATGCAGGCAGAATGTGAAGAAAAGCATTTCACAGAAAAACACATCAAGGTCTACTCATGAAACAGCAAGCTAGGAGATTGACAGAGACTCATGCAGAGTATGTCCTGATTTTGACACATATCCTCAAGCATTAGAAAATTCAGAAGACATGAGAATACTTCCATGCAACCAATTACAATGTAAAGAGAGCCATGAAGCTAGTGAATGAAAAGCTGAATGTTCTTGTGCAACCAGGAAAGCAGGTTGGATGAAGCAACTCAAAAATCACTAAGAAGTCACTGTTCAACTTTTATGACCTCCCCAGACCATACAACCCAAGGGAGAATTTAAATGAAAGCAACTGTGACAGCTACAAGGTTGGAGGGGGATAATGATGAAAATGAGAGACTGTACGCAGAGGCAAAGCCTTCACAAGTGAGGACCAGCAAGGCTGCATGACCACAAGCAAATGAGGCAGTTAGATGTTATTCCCATAGAGGCACATGTTACACTGAAAATGGAATTACTCTCCAGAAAAGAATAAATCTGGCCAGTCTCATAAAGACATGACTAAGGTCATGGGGATATTTGCCAAAGATTGACTGTAAGCATCTCTCAACATGAACTTAAACTGGGGAAGAACTACTTCTGCAAAGGTGGCATTCCTTCTCCCCTTGCCTTCTGACTTGATTCAGGTTGTTTCTGATGTCAAGAATTGCTCATGGAGATTTGTACTGAGAGTTTTTCCATAATGAACATATAGAAGATATAGATAAAGAGCTTATGTCTTGTTCAAACTCAGGTTTTCCCAACAGCTCAAGTGGAAAGCACATTCTGCATCCCTCACAGTCTTCATAAAAATCATGGAATATAGATCAGCTGGGCCTTTGCAAAATCTATAAGGAGTCTAGATCTGTTGGGTTCTGGAACATCTGATCCTTCATGGTTTCTGTCTTGAATCAGTCCATCTCTGCAGAATGACTAGGCCTTTGAATGATAGCAGTTAAATTCTCATCTGTATTGCTAGGCTCAACAGACTTCTAACTGAACTCCATTTACATGCTCAGCCATTAACTCTTTCTCTTTCTTGGACATCTCAATTTGCATAGACATTGATTTCAATTCTGTCTGCATACATAGAAAACTCATTGACACTTGTTCTTTTCTACATGTGCAATGTTTTCACCCTTCTTACCATAATAAGTCACTGCCATATGCCTATCTGCATCAAACACATCTGCCCAAATCTTGAAAATAAATCAAGAAAACTCCACCTTCTTCTCTATAAACAGCTGCAACAAAAGGAGTATGAAATGAAAAAAAAAACAACATTTAAGAGAACTTGTTCCTTATGAAGAAAGGAGCTACTTCAATACCATTAAGTTCAGAATGTCATCCATGTACTTCTTGTTCTTGCCTACCATCCACCCAAGCACATGATCTCTCTCATAGCCAAAAAGTACTTCCACTTATCAGTGGCATAGCCAGGAATTAATTTTGGGGGGTGTCCTGTGAGGCTCTTTCAGGTTCATGAGATGATGAAGTGGCCTAGGAAGGGGAGGGGTTGGGAGGAATGAGAAAAACTTTGAAAGCCTTTTTGAGACTTCAACCCCAGCCACCTCATAGTTCAAAATAGCCCTCTTCTCTTCCCAAAATTTCACATTTTTTTTGCATGAAAAGAGGTATGAGTCAAGGACTGACCTTAAATAAATCTTGATCTTGAATATAGTGGGGTGAAAGCTACTCCTGAATCATGGTTTGCTACTGGAACTAAAAAAATTGGTAGAGCAATGAAAGCAAAATGACCTCTGTATCTGGTAAAAGTGTTTTTATTCAGAAGGTTGAATAGGAGTGCAAGTGGAAACTTCAATTGTATATGTGAAACTTTTCACCCCCCCCCACCCCCCCACTCCCATACTCCTTGTTTCATATCTTGCTTCTTTTTGAGGGGCGTCCAGACACCCAGGACATTCCCCCTGGCTACATCCCTGCCACTTATTGAAGATGAACCAATAAGCATTCCAACAACCTTTTCTCTCAGCCTTCCAACAATCTCCCTCCCTCAGAATGCATCTAGTAAATTGTTTCAAGGGTTGACAGAACCTGTTCACATAGAGGAGGCTATGTGGAAAAAGCAGATGCCTAATTTTTCAAAATTCAGAGGGGAAAAAAGATATTAGATAATGCAAGATTAGATATTTGAAAACATGGGTATATTCAATATATCAAAGGAGAAATCTCATTGCTTATCATACATGATGGTCACAATATGATGCCTGATAAAATATAAATTATCTCCCATCTTGCCAAGCTGATTAAGTGTAGATATGTGCAACATCAAAATTCTATCCTTGCAATGTTGATTGGCAAGTCATCAATGTATCAATGAGTGAATTTGGAATCTTGTGTAGATTTCCTTCAAATACTAGGACTCAAAAAATGGTTGGACATATTTGTTGAATAATTACTTCACAATGGATTGTTAACTACTTGTAAAAAAAAAAAAAATCTGCTTGCTTCCTGAGCATATTTAATGTCCTATTCCACAGGACACTCTGAACTAGTTGTCTTCAGGTGACATCAGAGTGAACTTTGTTTAGCTAATGGATGATGCATGAATAGAGGTTGACTGATGCACTTAGCATAGAAACTCTTCCATGCTGCTTCTGGAGGAGATTCTTTCTTCTTTAATCATGAAAATTTCCTGGGGTTGAGAAGTTGAATTGGTCTTGCAACATAACTAACTGTTAATAGGATAGTGCCCCTGACAGTTCTCCCACAGCTTTTTATCTCTTTGAGTCTTCTTAGGTGGACAGAAAGGCTGGAGAGCTTAGTCACTCCCTCAAGAGGAATCATCAATAGGAATCCATCAATAGGGGCAAGTACTTGGAAATAGTTAAGCTAATCAGATGAAGCAGAGCATGGTTTACCATCTGCTTCAGTTGCAACAAGACTGTGAAGAGAATTGTTCTATTAAGACTTGGTGATGATGATACTTTTAAGCATCTGAATGCACTCGAATCACACCTGGAGGTGTCAAGGGACAAAATCCAGGCTCTTCAGCAAGCACTGACATTTCCAGAGAAAGATATGTAGATTAGTCCATGACCATGGTAGGCAGGATGTTGCAAGTGGTGCACCAAGAGAATCTACAGGTAGTTTCTTAAGCTTGGCTTTGTCTTGCCTGAACAAAGAAAATTTCCGTGATTTCTAGTTATGCTTCTCCAAAGACAAAATCAGCAGACCCTCTAATGAAGGGAATGGATTAGTAAAACTATGATCAGCATAAAGAATCACAATGTCCTCTAAACTCTGAACAGTCTATGAATAAGAGGCTATGAAGCCATTCAGTATCTTTGTATATTATGGCATTACCAATGGCAACTAGAAACATGGAGGTAAGAGGGTTTTAGCAAAACCTATTGTAGGCCAATAAGGAGGACAACATGTCTCTCACTGTAAGTGAGAAAATCAGATGGCAATGGATGCAAATAAATTTCTTACTAACAATAAGTAAGCAGGTTATCTCATTCTTAACCCTTCAAGTCGTTTTAATGTACCCCATACATGCATCACTTAGGTCGAGTCAAAACTCAGCACTTGAAGAGTTAAAGAAGGATAATGAGAGGGTACAAATGTTGGCCATATGAAGAATATGTATGTGAACTTGCATGCTAACAGCAGAAAATAATATAATTATATTGCCAATGTTATGTTACAGGGTATTTTCACCAGGGCAATTAGCTTCACTCTTGCACTATTGCCACATTTCAAGAGGTTGAGACAGAAGAGAACTTTTTTAGGATCTGATGTTCATGTTCATCTGATGTCTGTGTTCTGTTGGATATAACCCTCCTCAATTCTCCCAGTTTTCTCTCCTTCCTCATTCTGAAGTTCCCCATCAGAACGTCAAGTGTGAGTCCTCTTCAAAATGAGACCATAATCCATGGGATAGAATCATAACTTTTAATATACATGTCACTTAAGATTCCTACTTTTGGCAAAATATGCCAAGTGCTCAAAACTAAAGTAACTCTATGGCAATTAATGGTGACAATACTTTTTTAAACCCATCAGGGTTACAATGAAACAAAAAAAAAATTATATTCTAAGAAACCAGGAGTGGAATATAAAAGGTGGCTTTCCTCCTCATCGAGTGAATTGGGATGGCATGACCCTTGTTAGGTGTGTAGCAGTGGGTGAATGTCCATCAACAATTTATTGCCAGATGACTCTGACCAATTGAGTTCCCTTGGATGCTCTTGCCTGATGGACAGCTTGTCCTAAGGTTGATTTGGGTATGAATGAACTCTATAAAACTAGAAAAAGGCAATGTTAGAATAAGATACACAAGACAAATAAAAATGAATCAGAATCTGGATGAGTACTCACCTATGGGTGCTGATTCCAGAGCTTCCTCATGACCCTTTCCTAAATACATTAAGTTAGAGGGAGTGGTTTTTCATCTTTATGATGTTGAATACATTCCTGTATGCTTCTATTGTCATTCCCTGAGGTAAATTCATTGAAAGATAATTTTAAATAACCTAGAAGTTACATGTCTTCTCTGCCATAAACTTCTTCCCTATTTGCTTGCATGTGGAGAAAGTCTAGATGTCATCTCCCCTCCTGGTTTTCACAAACTCTAACTTCATACCTGAGGTGTCCCTAGCTACCTTCAGATATTCACAAGCAGCAGTTACAGGATGATCAAAGTCCTGAGCACACTTTTTTACGCATTCCAAAAAATTTTGTCATGACAAAATTTTTTTTACCTGCAGAGTTTTTGTACAGTATCAAATTTGTGATCTTAGGATATTGTTTTTATTGTTATTTTTATTTTTATTTTTTTTTTTACAAAAAATTGTAATTGTTAAGTTTGTGGAATAAATATGCTAACCTACAAGTGTGCCAGGGCTTTTGGATGACTCTGTACCATAGTTATAAGAAGAATACTTTAATTATCCAAGATCACCATGATTCAAACAGACAAGTATATTATAGCCTACATATTGATTTTGTTACAGTTCTCAGGTATCAGAATGAAGAAATTCTGCATTCTCTTAGGGTGATCAACTTGAGCAATGTTTGAATATAGGAACTTGGGACCCTTTTTGATTCACTGATGGGATTCACTGAACTTGAATTTGAAATCCAATGCCTGCCAATGACAGCCAAGGATCTCATTTTTACAGAACCAATATACATCTAAATAATCATAAATAAGGATGTAGAGATGGACATTAGCATTCAACAATATACAATGAGGATGACACCTTTTGCTTTCCTTTTGAATTAACATGCATTGACAGTTTTTTTTCCTGCTTTAGGTTTGGGTAGCATATTAAATTATGGGTGTTAATTCATTCACCCAGAAGGGAATCTTTTAAGTAAACTCTAATAAAACCTACCACAAACGCAAAGCTTTGTTGCATAGGCCTAGAGGGTAAATGCACCAAATGAAGAGAAACCCATTCAACCATGTGTTCCATGGAGGTTTTGCAATAATGGCATTCATGCATAATTATGAACTAGGGAAGGAAATCTGCATGCGATTTGAGTGTCTTTAAGTTGTTATATTGTACGATTTTTCTAAGGGACCCTGTACGATTCAACAACGAAACACAAAAGTGGCAACACGTTTCCCATCGTGAGGTGCCACAAATGCAAGCGGTACTGGAGCTCCAGGAATGGCCCTGATGTCCTCGGGGGTCCAGCAGCAGGTTGAAATGGAGGCACATTTTTCCCTAAGGATATCAAGGATCATCCGTGCTCCGAGCTCAGCATTAGGACAATTCTGTTCATTGCTGGGCACGTGACCAGACGATCCGACAGTCAGGAATGGCTGGCCTCCATGCTGTCCTCTAAACGTGAGGAGACCCTCGTTGAGTGGCGTAACTTCATTCGGGAGCTCCTGTATCGCAAGCTGGAGAGCGCACCTCCGATGGGCGGCCCTGGGCAGATAGTGGAAATTGATGAAAGCTGTTTCCGGTTCGTGAACTCGAATCCTCTACAAACCTGTCCATTTCTTTCCTGAGACGCTCACCCTTGCAGGATTTCATTTTTATTCACAGGGGTAGACGCAAGAACAACAAGGGGTGGTTGATGGCTGGCAACAACTCCCCTCCCCGCTCGTCAGAATTACGGTAATCGGGTCGTTGGTCCCTGGGTATTCCGGATCGTGTGGAAGCATGGAGTCTCCGAAACTCGCCTTTTCCTTGTGGAAAGGCGAGATCGGAGAACCCTGCTTCCCATCATCCTGAAGCACATTCAACCAGGGACCATGATCCGATCGGACGAGTGGGGGGCGTACCAGGGGCTGCACCGGAACGGGTTCACACACGAAACAGTGAACCATTCCCAGAATTTCGTGGACCCAGTTACTGGTATGGATATAGATACCTACGGTCTATTTTGTCCTGGAAGGCCTTCGAATAATGTCGGTACTTTTCCTAGGTGCTAACCCACAACGCATCAAAAGCTCCTGGGAGGTTTTAAAAACTAGAATCCTCAAGAGAAGGAGGGGGACCCGGCTCGCGCTTCTACAGAATCACCTTGCGGAAGGTTGTTGGCGGACCATTCACAAAGCCTCTCCCTTCCTTGACATCTTGGAGGAGATGCGACTGCAATGTCCAGAGTGAAGAGGAGAGGCCCTTTTATCATTCTGTTTTATCCTTTTATCTTTCGACATGCATGACTTTTGACGGTTCCTCACTTTTATTGCTTTGAACTATTCACTGATGGTTTTGACAATTTTCATACTCTTTTGTATGCTGCTGGCATGGCCCTTTTGACAATTTTCATATTTTTATTTTGTTTCCCCTTCTTTTGTATGCTGCTGCCATGGGCCAATTGGCCAATTTTGCCATTTACACTTTTAGCCCTCTCGTCTCATACTCTACAAATTCTTGTATTACTCTTGTATACGTATACTGCAAGAATGCTACGGTTACTAGAATCATTTATCGTAAATAAATGTTCTGATATTAACATTTGCCTTTTACTGCTAACATCATGGCTTCTCCAAAAGGAAGACGTTCCATGTTCTGGAGAACATGTTTAGAGTTGGCGACAGTCACTCACTCGCTATTTGGTTATATGTTGCGGAGCCAGAGCCACTGACATCTACAGGAAGTAGCGTAGAACATTAGTTCAGACTGATGCAGTTAGATGAAGCTGCCGCATACGGAATGAGGGATACCGCTCAACGTACACCAGGATCATGCCAGTGTGCCTGGAGCACACCAGATGAAGACCTAGGATGCCATGCAGCATAGCGACAGTTGTGCGTGTGGTGGAGCCAAAGCAAAACTCCGTGTGCACAGTAGTGTGCATAGGGGGTGGGGCCGCGTGTAACGTATATTATCCGGTTTCCGTTCCTCAAACGCAACATAGCAAATATCCAACTGCCCACCTGTGGAGCCAGCCGTTTGCGACAAGGCCCACCCGGCTGCAAAACTTAAAGGATACGCTTCATCACATGAGGTAACACATCATGAGGTAACACGAAGTGTACAACCGTGTCCCAGTTAGTTCCCCCGTGGAACTAGAATGACCTCGATCAAGCTAATCCGGCGAGCGGCTGGACATTCTTTATGTCCCCAGTTCTGAGTAAAAAATACCACAACTAATGAATGTGTCATGAGCTCGTCTGGAGATTTGACCTCCCAAATCACGTGCAAAAGACAACCGCGCCTCGCCGATGCAAGACGGAAAATGGATAAGCCTCACGACTCCGCGGCGCGGGAACCGCCTGGAAAGTTATACCAGACTGGAAAGTAACCCTTTCTTCCTCGGGTTTCGCTTTTCCTTCTTGCATAATCTCAAGATAAGCTTGTGATCAAAGGGGAAGAAGTCATCCCCGTGCCATCCACATTAAACTCTGGCGACAAAGCACAAGTCAGAAACACAGCCTTTGACATAATAAATCAATCTGTCGCCCTCGGTGGCTCTATTGAGTGCTCGAAAGGCAGAGTGGCCCCTGGCCTCCCAGCGGCTCCCATTAATTAAACCTTACTGGCCTCACTCAGAAAGCTTCAACATAATTTTTATGAAGGCATATTGGAATTCCAACAAGTTTCCTGGAAAACACTTTGTTATCACATGTAATTCCAAAGGACACTTTATGAAAAGGATATATCAATAATCGCTATTGCTTCAAGAGAGTTCTTTAATAATATAGAGTTTAATAATAAAATGTACTCAAGCCATTCTTAGTACATGTTAATCAAACATACGGCCAGGTCCGGCCTGCGGAGGTGGTTCATCAGGCCCGCCGTCCGTTCTTAAAACTTTCGCCTGGATTGACTCTCAGTACCTGCTGCGCACGAGCCTATGGGTACGGCCCCCAGGCATCTGCAGGTTAAGGAATGAGGTCCGCCGATCGATTTGAATTTGACACCTCAGATGTACCTCATAAGGTAATCCAAGCTTCTCAAGCTGGTTGGGCTTCATTTTGGTATCGAATGCTAATTTTCGTTGGATAAATCTCAATTTTAACTTCATGCTATTAACGATTACTACAACAACATGAGGAAATTTTTCTTGCTTCCCTTCGCTACTTGCAGAATATTTCATCTGCGCCAGTCAATCTCATGAGACGGAGGTGACGGCTGATCGCATTCGAGCGTCCCAGTCCCAACCAGATCCAATCCCAGACGATTCGCGAACTTGCACGGTTGAGCATCCGACCGGGCCGCCACCTGTTGGCAAACGCAAGGGAAGGGCTCAGAAGCGAGTGGCGAAGATAGCGATAAGACCCATATAGGAGAGCATGCGCCAAGAGTGCCACGCATGCGCCGGGAATGTCGCGCATGCGTCCTACAATTAGCTGTCTATTAATTTCGCGACTCGAAACGGTCTGCTCTCAGCAGGCAGGGGAGATTCTCGCGTATCGACAACTGGGAATTCTCACGGTATCCGTTACAGACACGATCCAGTTAGCGTCGGGGCTTGTTGTTCCTGCATTTTCCAGAACGAGACAAGAGCGCGAAATATAATAAAGACTCTAAATGTGTTCATGTGAGAACTCTACTGCGTGTGCGTTGATTCTGAGGCGCATCGAGAATCCAGGCAAGGCGTGCTATTACGAATTTCAGTGTGACCTCGGTTGCCCTTAATAGGAAGGAATAGCTTGTTAGAACTTTTTTTACTTCATTCTAGTGACTGGATTCGTCGAACACATCCATCCTGGGACCTTCTCTTCTCTCTTCTCGGCTTAAACCTTTTCAGGAAGCAAAACTTAAAAATATAAATATAAAAAAATATATATAAATGGAAAATGCCTGTGCGTGTTTTCCTTCGAGTGACACATGAATTTGCATGACAGCATATCCATTCTTCAGTCGGCGCATGCCTCAGACTTACCAAAAGCAAACTTATTTATTTATTCCTTTCTATTAAACGAAAACTGCGACTAATTCAGAATCGCTGAATATTCCTTCATTGACCCGCAGACAAATCTCATGAGACGAATTTGAGAATTGAAATTCCCACCCGCACCGATACCCTCCCGATCCCCAAGGATTCGCAGACTTGCACGGTCGAGCATCCGACCAGGCTGCCACCAGCTTGCAAACGGAAGGGAAGGGATAAGACGAGGACGTGATGGAGGGGAGGGGAGGGGAGCACGGAGGGGAGCATGCGCCGAGAGTGTACCGCATGCGCCAAGAGTGTCGCGCATGCGCTCAGAATTTAGCATTCTGTTAAATTTCGCGGTCTGCTAAGATTTCCGCCGATCGACATCCGGAAAATGTCACACTATACGCAACATGTAAGATCCACTTCTACGCCACGCTCTACGCTCATGCTCTCGCCATAATGAGAAAGGCGCGCGAAGAACAAGTGGGCTGTGAATATGAGGAGCCTACTGTGTGCGGGTCGAATCCACTGGGCGTTGAGAATCCAGGCAAGACCTTGCGCTATCGCGAATTTCAGAGCGCCAGTCTCAGCTGGCTTGATTCGAAATGCATTAGTTTCAAAATGAGATAATATGCCCTTAAAAGGCATTTCCTCCTTTTCGGTGTTCCCCAGCATGTGCGTGCTTCTCGCTAAATATGATCTGTCGTATTTTTCATTTTTCGAAGAAAAAGTTTCAATATTTTCACCTTCAAGGCAACCAAAGACATTGTTTTTCTGGAAGCACAAACGGGTTCTACGTGCCTCTAGTTTCACCTTGTCGACCGAAAGAACGCGTGGGTCAGAATGACGCTGTCCCATCCCTCGAACAGGGTCGGACTGGGCCCCCGGGAAATTGCTGACATAAGACCACAGAACCCCCCCCCGTTGCATTAATCATTTTTATAGCTTCATGCGATTTGGAACATATGATCATTACTGTAATTAATGTTCATTCATTTTCATTTCCACTTAAATTTTTATTGATTTAAATCAGGACTGGGGGAGTCCTTTGGATATTTCCCGGTATCCCCTCCCCATGAAAGAGCACAGCAGCCTCGCAGCGAAGTCTAGCGAGAGACTGGCGACGTCGGGATGGGGAAGCGTCTCGCTCGTCGCCTCCGCTCCGTCCGCCTCGCGTTGGGAGGAGCGAGGGCTCCTTCGAGGAGGGTTGGCCGTCCAAGGGGCTCCGTGTCCAAGGGGCTCCGTGTCCAAGGGGCTCCGTGTCTTCGAGATTCCTCTGACGTTTCAAGGCGATCGAAGGCGGGAGTTGGGAAGTCATCTAGGTTTGTCTCGAAGGGCTCGTTGGTTTGGACGAAACAATTACTTCAGTTCGATCGGAAAAGCATCAAGGAAGACTTTTGTGGGATGTGTTTTCTTCTTCCGGTGCTGTGAAACATCCTTCCACAAAATACATAGCGATAATTCACGGCTCTATCCATTAGATCTTGCGCTGGAAATTGTCCATATGGAATAAGGGAGCTCTCGCCTTTGTTTTTGACTAATTGGGCGAAGGATCAGTTCTTCATAAGTTAAAAATAGTTAAGTTGCTCAAAATTCTGGCCGAATACCATAGACTAGACTTAGGCAAGGTTACTATCACCTAGTGGACAGTTGGACCAAATGAAGGAACTCCTTTGTGTGGTAAAACGAAAAGTAGGTCACTCAGAAAATGTCGTCTCGAGATAGGTTTTGTGTCTTACATGACTGAGCTCCAGATAGGAGACGATGGGTATCTCATGACGAAGGGGTTG